ACATAACTTAGGATCCAGTCCCAATAACACCCCAAACACAGAATTTATGCAATCAATAATATCTAACCAACACCTATTCAGTTTGGGGCATCTTCAACCATATGGAAAAGGTCATGTCTCGGATTCCCACATCAGGGGCATGCAGAATCTGGACATCTTCCAATTGTAAACCGTCTTTTGGAGGGTACAGTAAGTTCTATATAATAAAATGAATGTGTGAAATCCTCTGCGAGGGGGGCATGGACACCAATGGTACTGTATCCAATTTATATTTCCACTCCTCTTCTGTAATACCCCCTATATCCTCCATCCATCTACTTGTACATGGGAGAACCACATTTCCCTCTAATGGTGCAATATGTGTCGCAGCATAAACGTCAGATATCATTCCCTTAGAGAATGATACAAATATTACTGTATCTTACATAACAGGGGTATCCCACTCCACTCTAATACCTTTCCTTTAAACTTCTCCCTTGGAGCATGCCTGACCTGCAGATATCTGTAGAAAGATTAATGCTGGATGTCAAACTCCTCTCTTAATTCTTATAATGTTTTCAGTAAATCAGACTTATACAACTGGGTCGGATGTACTGTTCCACAGTTTTCCCATTCCTTAATTCTTCCTATACTAAACAGCCCTGCAGGTTCTTATTGTCCCAAATTGGGGAGAATTCTGTAAATCCCTAATATCCCTTTAGTTCCTTAACCACCTCCCGTCCGGCCTTTGTATATAAACAGGCGGACGGTGGCAGTGCAGGGTCAGGTGGCCATTTGTAAACGGCCTCCCCGCCCCCTGCTTGTGCGCGCTCCTGGACACAGTGGAACACCGATCGTCAGACGGGACCTCTGTGCGAGGTCCCGATCGTGTGATCACTGATTTGGGTTATTTTTTTTTTTTACTAAAAAGATAGAATAAATTTTGGTGAAGATTTATGATGAAATATTTATTTGCAAAATTTTATAAGAAAAAATGAAAAATAAAATGTTTAAAAATTATAATTTTTGGTTATAAACTAATTTGGGTTATTATTTTTTTTTTTTTACTAAAAAGATAGAATAAATTTTGGTGAAGATTTATGAAGAAATATTTATTTGCAAAATTCTATAAGAAATTTTTTTCAAAATTTTTGGACATTATCATTTACATAGCAAAAAAAATTAAAATCCCAGTGGTGAATAAATACCATCAAAATAAAGCTTTATTTGTCTCAAAAAATGCTAAAAAAAAATCATATGGGTACAGTGTTGCATGACCGCGCAATTGTCATTCAAAGTGTGATAGCACTGAAAGCTGAAAATTGGCCTGTACAGAAAGGGGTTAAAAGTGTCCGGACGTGAAGTGGTTAACCACTTGCCTGAGGATTTACCCCCCTTAATGACCAGGCCTCTTTTTGCTATTCAACTGGTAATTGCGCGGTCATGCAATGCTGTACCCAAATGAAATTTATGTCCTTTTTTTCACACAAATAGAGATTTCTTTCGGTGGTGTTTGGACACCTGTGCGCTTTTTATTTTGTGAGCTATAAACAAAAAAAAAAAAACCAAAAGTAAAAAAAATAATATTTTTTACTTTCGGCTACAAAAATATATAGTACACTCAAACTTAGTCATAAATGTAGGCCAAAATTTATTCTGCTATATGTTTTTGGTAAAAAAAAAAATCCCACTAAGTGTATATTGATTGCTTTGTGTGAAAGTTATAGCATCTACAATCTATGGTATAGATACTGCAATTTACGCCATTTTTTGCTATACAGCGCTGCACTAGTTTAACTGACAATTGCGCGGTCATTCAATCCTGTACATAAATGAAATGTCCTTTTTTTCACACAAGTAGAGCTTTCTTTAGGTGGTATTTGATCACCTGTGCGCTTTTTATTTTTTGATTCTGCGAACACTGCAGTTTTGTGTGCAATGTATCAAGTGACAGTGACCTACTGACACTGCACTTGCTGGGGGGGGGGAGGCGGGTTAAGCATAGGGGCTAAACGCAGGTGCTGGAACTGATCCCACTAATTGCTTTTTTGGGGACCCTATACTAATGTGAACGCTGGTAGAGTGCTGATCTGATCAAAGATATTGATCCGTTCAGACACTATACTATAATTGGAGATTTAATGTGTATGTGAGCGTGTTCCTGGCAATCAAAGGGTTAAATGTGATTACTGGTGTACTAATGGGCAATCTCATGCTATCTGGAAGGGGCGCTAACTGACGCTAGCACTATCTGAAGTCGCCAGCGCCACTAATACAGTGATCAGCAAAAAATCTGTACACTGTACTAATGACACTGGTGACAGGACAGTGAAGGGGTTACCTGGGGATGGGGGGGGGGGCGCGCGATCAAGGGGTTAAATGTGTCCTAAAGTGTTCTAACTGTAATTGTGTAGTTCTTGTACTCAAAATTCTGTTGATTCTTCTCTCTCTGGGACGGAAAGTGACAATGTCCAAATTGGGCGCAAAATGTCAATATTTTGTGTGGCCGCCATTATTTTCCAGCACTGCCTTAACCCTCTTGGGCATGGAGTTCACCAGAGCTTCACAGGTTGCCACTGGAGTCCTCTTCCACTCCTCCATGACGACATCACAGAGCTGGTGGATGTTAGAGACCTTGCGCTCCTCCACCTTCAGTTTGAGGATGCCCCACAGATGCTCAATAGGGTTTAGGTCTGGAGACATGCTTGGACAGTCCATCACCTTTACCCTCAGCTTCTTTAGCAAGGCACTGGTCGTCTTGGAGGTGTGTTTTTGGGGTCATTATCATGTTGTAATACTGCCCTGCGGCCCAGTCTCTGAAGGGAGGGGATCATGCTCTGCTTCAGTATGTCACAGTACATGTTGGCATTCATGGTTCCCTCAATGAACTGTAGCTCCCCAGTGCCGGCAGCACTCATGCAGCCCCAGACCATGACACTCCCACCACCATGCTTGACTGTAGGCAAGACACACTTGTTACTCATCACCTGGTTGCTGCCACACACGCTTGACACCATCTGAACCAAATCAGTTTATCTTGGTGTCATCAGACCACAGGACATGGTTCCCGTAATCCATGTCCTTAGTCTGCTTGTCTTCAGCAAATTGTTTGTGGGATTTCTTGTGCATCATCTTTAGAAGAGGCTTCCTTCTGGGACAAAAGCCATGCAGACCAATTTGATGCAGTGTGCGGTGTATGGTCTGAGCACTGACAGGCTGACCCCCCCCCCATCCCTTCAACCTCTGCAGCAATCATACATCTATTTCCCAAAGACAACCTCTGGATATGACGCTGAGCACGTGCACTCAACTTCTTTGGTCAACCATGGCGAGGCCTGTTCTAAGCGGAACCTGTCCTGTTAAACCGCTGTATGGTCTTGGCCACCGTGCTGCAGCTCAGTTTCAGGGTTTTGGCAATCTTCTTATAGCCTAGGCCATCTTTATGTAGAGCAACAATTCTTTATTTCCGATCCTCAGAGAGTTCTTTGCCATGTTGTGCCATGTAGAACTTCCAGTGACCCATATGAGTGAGAATGATAACACCAAATTTAACACACCCACTCCCCATTCACACCTGAGACCTTGTAACACTAAGGAGTCACATGACACCGGGGAGGGAAAATGGCTAATTGGGCCCAATTTGGACATTGTCACTTAGGGGTGTACTCACTTTTGTTGTCAGCGGTTTAGACTTTAATGGCTGTGTGTTGAGTTATTTTGAGGGGACAGCAAATTTACATGTTATACAAGCTGTACACTCACTACGTCACATTGTAGCAAAGTGTCATTTCTTCAGTGTTGTCACATTAAAAAATAGAATCAAATATTTACAAAAATGTGAGGGGTGGACTCACTTCTGGGAGATACTGTATACACGTGATTTTGTCCAGCCCTGCCGCTCTGTAGCAGTAGTTCTGATATAGGGCGGTTAGGATGCGGTTAATATATTTTTGGCTGAAATTCTGGATTTGATCAACTGTTGTGTTACTTAAAAAAAATGGAACTACCTCTAATTTATTCTCCAGGGTCTTTCAGAAACTATATAATGTTTTTAGGTTCTAAGTAATTTGTGTGAAAAATGTTTACAAAATGGCCCCGTGGGCAAGCGGTTTAAAGTGTTACTAAACCCAGGACCCTGCATTCACTATATCTGGTCTCCCACAGTACACACAACATGGAAGGAAATGCAATTATTATAAACTGCTATTCCTAGATTGTAAGCTCGTAAGAGCAGGGCCCTCGAACCCCTCGTGTATCGCACAGTCTCTGTCTTCTCCTTCCCTTGTACAGCGCTGAGCAAACCCTTTGGCGCTATATAAATACTGTATAATAATAATAATATACCTTTTCTCATCAGTAGTATATAGCAGTCTTGTGACTTCTATCAGTGTCCAGCAGAGCACAGGTTAAAGCTTGTAGGACAAGCTTTAATTTTGCTCTAGGGAGATGCAGAATCCCAGACCTCTGTCTGGACAGTGCTGATTGGCCTTGTGCTGATCACATGCACTCTGCCTAGAAAAGAAAAAAAAACCCTCTCTAGCAATACACACCAAACTCAGCATGTGCAGTGTCTCCATGCAATATGTCTTATGGAGACATAAGAGGGGGACACTTGAAGATAAGGAGGATCAGAGAAGTCAGGATCAAACATCCTTTTTACACAACACAGAGGATTAACCCCTTAGGTTCCACAGTGAGTATAACAAGCATGCTGTACTGCATATACAGACTGATTTTACTGTTGTGGGTTTAGTAACACTTTAACTGTAATAGTTTGATTTAGAGGAAATAATTGCTGGGGATTGGATGGAAACTTTCAGAGGCACAAAGCTGTATTTTCGGGAACTTCGCATCATGTGACTCAGGAAGCGCCAGTCATGTGACTCGGACCAGCCCAGAGGGCGTGGTGAGCATGATGCAGTCACGTGGCCCCCATTGACGTGTTCCTGGTCACCTGATCCGACCTCGCTCGTCGGCTGAAGATTCTCCGGAGAAGACGGTGCTGAGGAAGAGTCATAGTCATGGCCAGCCAGTCCGCGGGGATCCAGCAGCTGCTGCAGGCAGAGAAGAGAGCGGCCGAGAGGGTGGCGGAGGCTCGGAAACGTGAGGCTCTTCTCCGCTCACTTGTTGATTCATTGGGAGCTCTTCTTAGAACTTGCCGTGTAAAGACTACAACTCCCAGCATGCTTTGCCAGGCTGCAGCTGAGGAGGGATGCTGGGATTTGTAGTTTCATTCCAGGAGCCCACAACTTGTCCCTGTCTGGCTGCTTAGTGACTACAATCAGTGAATGGAGCTGCAGTCAGCTACCTGACCATTCAATCAACTTTATTGACCAGGCCAGGGCCTTCCACTCTACCACCCCTCTCTTTTGATCTGTGGAGCCTTAAAGGGACAGGTCTCTTGCATGATGATTTGGGGAGAAATATACATTGGAGGGGCCTGGCAAGGGTTGGATGTTCTGATCAATAAAGTTCATTGGATGGTCATGTAGCTGTGTGTGCAGCTTCACTCACTGACACGGATAGGGTGTGGCTCCTGCAATGATATTACCTGGAGAACTACAAGTCCCAGCAATCCTCCTTAGCTGCAGCCTGGCACATATATGGGGGCGCTGTGCGGGAGTAGGGCAGAGACTGGGGGCGCTGTGCGGGAGGGGGGGTCGGAGACTGGGGGCGCTGTGCGGGAGGGGGTCGGAGACTGGGGGCACCCTGGGGGAGGCGGTCCCAGGTTGGGGACTCTGCGGTGGCGGTCTGGGGCTGGTAACATCCTGTGGAAGGCGGTCTGAGCTGGAGACACCCTTTAGGAGATGTTTAAAGACTATGGATGTGTTACAGGTGTGGTAGGGGACTCAAGGTATGTAGAGGAAAATGTCACCATCACTGGCTCCTGGAATCCAAGGGCCAAACAAACCAGCTTTATTTTTGTATACTGTGTATCATCCATTCACCTGACTGATAGTTGCAGACTTCCTCTCCCCCTCATTATGAAGGCAGTCATGGGTGTCGTACATTCCTTCTTTTTCCAGAAGGGGGTTGGTCGGTTCTGGCCGCCCGCCCGTCCATCCAATACATTTCATTTACAGAGTTCTCTGACCTCCAGTTAGACCTCAGTAAGTGATTGGTGACTCTAGGTGGACGTCTATTCAGTCCTGCTCACATCTAATGCATTCACAGATGACTTGCATTTTATTTCTTCCTCATCCCTGGATGAACACTTCTGCATTTTCTGCTCCTTGCACATTGTGATTAAAGCCGACCTACACGGTACAATGGAGATAGGAGGTTACCTGCTGATGTCCTATACCTGGAAGTGTCAGTTCCATACATCTGATGTTGTCTCCTGTATGAAATGATCGTTCACAAATCTGGCATAGAAGCAGCCTTATCCCCTTCCCCTCCAGTCCAGCCTCCCTTTCACCAGGTGGTGGGGGTGGGAAGGACTGCAGATCATAGGATCGGCTTCCAGTCATTACTAGAGATCAGGAACTGTCTGACAGTTTGGTCATGGTGCTGGGTTCTGTGCTTTAGCTATTAAAGTATTTGTGGTTCTGTACGGCCAGCCTTGTGTTGACACACATCCACCATGGATTGACAAATGGATTTCCTGATACATCCGTACAGCTTCCAGCATGTTCATTGGGTATCTTCCCTCTTGTCCAGTGGTCTCCAAACTGTGGACCATGGACAAGATGCTGACCTTTGCTAGCTTCTATCTGGCCCATGAGGCACTATTCTTACCGCTGCTATGAAGGAGTCTTTCTGCCACTGCCACCAAAGACAGCACCCATTCCTTCCAATGATATCAATGTTTGGGTGCTATTCCTCCAACTAATACAGGTATGGGGCAATATTTCTCCCACTGACGCCAACCGACGGGGCGGTATTTCTCCCACTGACGCCGACCGGCGGGGGCGGCATTTCTCCCACTGACGCCGACCGGCGGGGGCGGCATTTCTGCCACTGACGCCGACCGGCGGGGGCGGCATTTCTGCCACTGACGCCGACCGGCGGGGGCGGCATTTCTGCCACTGACGCCGACCGGCGGGGGCGGCATTTCTGCCACTGACGCCGACCGGCGGGGGCGGCATTTCTGCCACTGACGCCGACCGGCGGGGGCGGCATTTCTGCCACTGACGCCGACCGGCGGGGGCGGCATTTCTGCCACTGACGCCGACCGGCGGGGGCGGCATTTCTGCCACTGACGCCGACCGGCGGGGGCGGCATTTCTGCCACTGACGCCGACCGGCAGGGGCAGCATTTCTGCCACTGACGCCGGACCGGCGGGGGCGGTATTTCTCCCAGGAAGAGGTATAGAGACCTTCCTGAAACTGCAGAGTTGTGTAGATCAGAAGACTGGCTGAACACATTTACAAATGCTTCTGCAGGTAAACCAATTTGTATTTAGTGCTGTGCTTGGAATTCCACTTGACATTAAAGTAAATATAAATCCTCACCATGCAAAACAATAGAAATGACAGGCAAAACATTTGTGTATAGATATGAAAAAACATAAACACTCCCCCCCCCCCCCCCCCCCCCCCCCTTTTTTTTTTTTATATAAGTCTCCATGTACACTGCAGCTGATAAACTCAAGTTTAGGAGCTTTTCTGCGGGTTTTTTTTTTTCCAGCAGCCCCTGAACTCCCTAATGTTTTCCTATGTGTCCATGTACACTGTCATTTACCGGCAGTTGAGTTTACAGTGGTTTTTTTGAACGTGCGTTCAGTAGATTTTATCAGCATTCCAAACGCTTGTAAACGCGGCTAACTGCGTCAATAAGCATTTGCGTTTATAAGCGTTTTTTGACTGGTCCATATCCAGGGCACAATTCAGTAAGAGGTATCCTACCGCATCTGAGTATGCAGTAGGATACCGCATAGCATATTTTTTTTAAAAAACCCATTTGAATCCACTAAAAAAGGCTACTAAAATACCGCATGATGGCTGCATGCTCGGATAAGGGTCTGGTATGGATTTTGGGGGGAACCCCACGCCATTTTTTTAAAAATGTTGACACGCTTCCCCTCAAAATCCATACCAGACCCGAAGGGCTTGGTATTGGTGGGACGCGGGGATCCCATGTCGTTTTTTTTTATTTTTTAATTGCCGGCAATTCTTTCTTTTACGTTCAGCTGTTAGTGGGAATCCCGCAGACAGCTGAAACATTAATGCAAGCTTTTCACTGCTAAAATACCACATGAGTTGATAAAATAGCTCGTGCTGTATTTTAGTAGCCTTCTTTTAGTGAATTTACTATTTTTCAGTGCATTCTGGGCATTTGGGAAGAGCTCCTGAGATTATCTTTTAAAAATGCTTCCAAATGCAAACGTGCATAAACACGTTATGCAAACGCTGCTAAACTGACGTGTTTTTTTTTTTTACCTACGTTTTGCAGCAGTCAGTTTCCATAGTTTAGAAGAGTTTTCCAAACGCCCCGTGTATATGAACCCTAAGTGATCACATCCCATCTGTTTTCAGCTGCATTAGAGCTAGGGGAAGAGAAACAGCAGCACACTGAACTTCAGAGTAAAATGCTGTGCAGGGGGGCTTGATCATTGGAGGAGAGCAACCTGAGTTCATAGCATAGCCAGAAAACTGACCACACTGTTCTCCTTAGTGTGGTGAGCTTTTAATTGGAAAACAGAGACACTGGAAGGGGCACCAGGGATTTCACACAAAGGGAGCAATAAAAAGAGAACAGGATACTTTTTCATACAAGTACATGGTACCGCAGGCACATATCAGGAATATGAAATGTTGGGTTTTCATATTCTTTAACCACTTGCTGACGATGCTATAGCTAAATTATTGCTACGACGCGGTCGTCCAGTCCTGGGAGGGCATCATATGATGTCCTCCCAGAACCACACACCTGCTGCAGCGTGCACCCAGACATCGGGCCAATCACAGCTGATCACGATGTAAGCACAGTTGCCGATTATCTGCAGCACTTTCCTCACGCTGTGGTAGCGCTAGGAAAGCCGGTAACCAGCAACTTTGAAAAGCGACGTTTACACTGGTAATCAGGGCACTGATTATCATTGTCCTGGTTATCAGTGCAGCCCCAACTGTGCCAGTCAGTGCTGCCTATCAGAGCAGCCTCTTCAGTTCCTCCTCGTGAGCGCCCATTGGTGCAGCCTCATCAGCGCATGTCACTGAAAGAGAAAAATTACCTGTTTGCAAATTTTTATAACAGAACTATTTTTGTTAACAAAATTTTTGGTCTTTTTTCCTTTTATTCAGCAAAAAAATAAAAAACCCAGTGGTGATTAAATACCACCAAAGAAAGTTCTATCTGTCTCAAAAAATGTATAAAAATTTAATTGCATGACCGTGCAATTGTCATTCATTCAAAGTGTGACATCACTGAAAGCTGAACATTGGCCTGGGCAGGAAGGGGGTGAAAGTGCCCAGTACTGAAGTGGTTAATGTCTGTGATGATGTAGTTCTTGTATAGCACGACCCAGCAAGGACCTGAATGTCCCATGACTGCACTTTTTCTTCTGATTCAGGAAAGAACAGGCGTCTGAAACAGGCAAAGGAGGAAGCCCAGGCTGAGATTGAGCAATACCGGCTGCAGCGGGAGAAAGACTTCAAGGCCAAAGAGGCAGCTGTATGTATTTGGGTGGGATTTAAGTAGGGTTCAGTGAATCGCTGTTCTTTTATCTACAAGTAATATTTTCAAATGGACAAATTATCAGTTACAGCTAATGCAATATTTTGGTAAAAGCTGTAAGTGACCTTAAAGTGGTTGCAAACCTAAGCTGCAGATACACGTTTCGTTAGGGATTGACTCCCATATTAAATGGTATTATTAAAAGGGATTTTCAGAAACCTTTTATTTTGAGGACACCTTACCACATAGATCTTTTCAGATCTAAACAGTCAGGGTGCTGGGTGGGATCAGTGTGTCTTGCCATGAATGACAGGAGGTGCTGCTGTCAGTCACTCTTACCCGCCCTGTCAGGGTCCCAGCTGCCTACTTGATGAGCAGCACTGCCTGACAGGACAGGTAAGGGTATCTGACAGTGGCTCCTTCTGCCATTGGCAATTATGACAGGGAAGACTGGTGCCACCATTCAAACTCAAAAAGAGCAAGGCACAGTACTTTTTTTTTTTTTTTTTTTTTTTTTTTTCCTGCACATGCGCACAAGCGGTGGCAACTCTGCATAAGGTAGATGACCCTGCAGATCATTGCCACCGCCAAACACAAGATTAGGTCACTGGTAGGATCAACAGGTTTTATTTGTTTTTTTAATTAAAAAAAATCTAATTTTCCAAATAGAAATCAATGAGACTGCACAGGGATGCATGGAATACCTGCCCATCCCCTTGCTGGAAAACCTGGTACTGCATGGGCTTATGGTATTGTACGCCCTGTGTGAACTTGGCTATACATGCAGAATATTATACTGTTCAGAATAAATTGTGGGTGGGTGTTGTAAGTGAACAAACAAATGGCAACCACTCCAGCCTATTACTAGCCTTTGCAGCAAGGAGCACATGGAAGGGTGATGCATGTTAAAATTCCCACCTCACTTATCAGCCAGCCTGCAACAATCCTAATGATCCCGTCTAACAGTTCATTTTAAAATCAAGAGGTTTTGTTTACACACATTTGCAAATACAGGCATAAGCTGCAGCAGCCACATCTCGGTACCCCAGTATACTGCAGTCCTAGCTCTAATTTTGAGAGCCTCCAAAGTTGCAGCACATATATAATAATGGCTAGATTAAAGGCAGGTATGCCTGGAGGGAGACCATCCCTCCTTAAAGGTACAGGGACACACTGGATACATTCAGTTGCCATTGTGCTTTTGCTGGGTATGCAATGTGTCCTTGTACCTTTAAGGAGGGGTGAGCTTCCTCCAGGCAAATTCACCCTGAATTTATCCATTATTATATATGCGCTCTTACTTGGGAGGCTCTCAAAATTATTGAGTTAGTACTGAAGTACACTGGGGTGCCATGTTGTGACCGCTGCAGCTTGCACATGTATTTGCAAATGTGTGCAAAATAAATCCCTTAATTTTAATGTATACTGTTAGGGTTATTTTGGTTTGTTGCTGGCTGGTAGGTGAGGTGGGAATTTTCGCTTGTTTTTTTACATGTATTCTGAATAATGTGTGGGTTCTAACCCTTCCCCTATTTAAGACTAAGAAAACAAGGTTTTGGCTGGACATTCACTTTAACCCCTTTGCCGCCAGCCCTATAACTGGTGCCAGGAGTCAGGGCTTGCTTCAGAGCTTTGTAGGCACTGTGATTGAACTGGGCTCCCAATCGTGATCACTGCGTCAATGAACGCATATACAGTTGTGTTCAAAATAATAGCAGTCAGACATCACTAACCTGATCAATCACTGTTTTTGGTAGAAATGATATTTCTACATGGCAAATAATTTACTAGCAGGTGTAGTAGATTAATAGAAATCCAACAGACCCAACAGTCATGACATGCATGCTGCTGATTCTGTGTCATTGAATCACTCATTGAAAGGGCATGTTCAAAATAATAGCAGTGTGGAGTTCTATTAGTGAGGTCATTCATTCTTTGAAAAACAGGTGGCAATTATTGCCCTTATTTAAGGAAGGAAGGCAGCAAATGTTGTACATGCTGGTTACAGTGCATTTCTCTCTGACATTCTGAGGAAAATGGGTCGTTCCAGCAGACATTGTTCAGAAGAACAGTGTACCTTGATTAAAAAGTTGACTGGAGAGGGGAAAACCTATAAAGAAGTGCGGAAAATGATAGGCTGCTCAGCTAGAATGATCGCAAATGCTTTAAAATGGCAATTAAAACCTGAAAGACATGGAAGAAAGCGAAAAACTACCATTCGAATGGATAGAAGAATAAACAAAATGGCAAGGACTCGGCCAACAATCAGCTCCGGGAAGATCAAAGAAGGTGTAAAGTTACCTGTGAGTACTGTTACAATTAGAAGACGCCTATGTGAAGCCAAGCTATCTGCAAGAAGCCCCCGCAAAGTCCCACTGTTGAAAAAAGACATGTGCTGAAGATGTTACAATTTGCCAAAGAGCACATTGACTGGCCTAAAGAGAAATGGCGCAACATTTTGTGGACTGATGAAAGTAAGATTGTTCTTTTTGGCTCTAGTGGCTGGAGACAGTTTGTCAGACGACCCCCAAACACTGGATTCAAGCCACAGTACACTGTGAAGACAGTGAAGCATGGTGGTGCAAGCATCATGATATGGGGATGTTTCTCATACTACGGTGTTGGGCCTATTTATCGCATACCAGGGATCATGGATCAGTTTGAATACATCAGAATACTTGAAGAGGTCATGCTGCCTTATGCTGAAGAGGAAATGCCCTTGAAATGGGTGTTCCAACAAGACAACGACCCTAAACACACCAGTAAACGTGCAACATCTTGGTTCCAGACCAACAAGATTGATGTTATGGAGTGGCCAGCCCAATCCCGGGATCTTAATCCAATAGAAAACTTGTGGGGTGACATCAAAAATGCTGTTTCTGAGGCAAAACCAAGAAATAGAGAAGAACTGTGGAATGTAGTCCAATCATCCTGGGCTGCAATACCTGTTCACAGGTGCCAGAAGTTGGTTGACTCCATGCAACACAGATGTACAGCAGTTCTCAGAAACAGTGCTTATACAACTAAATATTCATTAAGTGATTCAAAGGAAAGCAAAATCTTCAAACATTTTTCAGTTTATATAGTGAATGTTTGAGTTTGTAAAGAAGAATACAAACACTGCTATTTTTTTGAACAGTCTAATATTCACTTTTCTTAAATTTTTTTAGAGGAACAACGCAAATTTGATCTATTTTTCTTCATGTTTTGATTTGGAATAGAATGTGTAGTGTTCCCAATGCATTTGTGTGTATGGAAATAAAAGCTATTAGAAGGATTTTCAGCTTTATTCACTTTTTTTCAACACACTGCTATTATTTTGAACACAACTGTATGTGGAAGCCCGGCATTAAATCCCACTTCTGTGGTGCCACATATATGTGTGAGGCTGGCATTAAGAGGTTAATAAACTAAAATATGCTCTTTATTCTTGATCGGTTTCTCTGAACGTTTCTATGTTTTTTAGGCTTTGGGTTCCCATGGAAGCTGCTCTGAAGAGGTGGAGAGGGAGACATCTGCAAAGATGTCCATAATTGAAGAAAACTGCAAGCAGAATCGAGAAATTGTATTAGAGCACCTGCTGTCTTTTGTGTGCGAGATAAAACCCGAAATTCATGTCAACTATCGCATCAATGGCTAGAGACCCATGTGCGCCTATGGGTTGTACCTGCCTCCTTTATTGCTGTCCTGTTATTTATTGTGCCCTGGCACGTGATAAGCCATTTTCCTGAATTTAGCACCGCCCCGGTGTAGTCTATGCAATTTAATATTCTAGCAGAGGGGACCCTTTGTGGGTGCCAGTAAGATATATATTTTACCAAAGCCTTACACAGAGGTTTAATCTTTACACAAGGTTGGATTATTGAAAAGGGAAGTAACGGGCAGGAATTGGTGGTACGAGGGGGGTTGGTGAGTCGTCTTGTGTTGTAGTTTTGAGGAAGGAGCTAGTTTTAGTCAGATTTTCTACTACTACTGGTGCTCTTAGTTTGCTTTTTCCATGCATACATTTTAGAAATAAAATTTTCATTTTCCTTCATGACCAGTGTAATTTGTTGCAGCTTTTTTAAAGGTCCATGTGTACACCTCCTTTGACTAAGTAGCCGTTTTTGTTGGATGACCATGAAAAGAAGCTTACCGGTTTCCTAGGAACCAGTCGTCTTCAAGCTGCAAAGTTTTTGTTTTTATAATCTGAGGTCAGCTTAAGACTTAAATGCTAAGTCCACCCATTTTTTTTTTCTTTTACATGAAGCTTGGTTGCCTAAAACATCCTCAAAACTCAACCCCCCCATGTCTCTTCCTGAATTGCTGAGTGCAGCTTACTGCTGGATTCTGTTGGTTCAAAAAAAGTGTCATAGATGCTCTGTAGAATTCCAGCTGTCCTCTGCATAACAGATGTCGGTGTGGGTCACTGATTTACGTACCTGTCAGAAACACTAACGTAAATCTTTTACATGCAGGAGTCTTGGACACTCCATCTTACATTACAAAGGGAAAGGGCGCACCAGCCTAGTACATAATTGTAATACTATTTTTATTGTAGAAAAAAAATAAGATGCATCAGGTAAAATAAGAATTGAACACATCACCATTTTTCTAGGTAAATATATTTCTAAAGGTGCTATTGACATGACATTTTCACCAGGTTGGTAGCAATCCATACATACAAAGAAACCAAAACAAATAAGTTTGGAAATTAAGTTATGTGTAATAAATTGGAATGACACAGGAAAAAAGTATTGAACATGCTAACTGAAATTTATTTAATACTTCATACAAAGTCCTTTGTTGGTAATGACAGCTTCAAGATGCCTCCTGTATGGAGAAACTAGTCACATGCATTGTTCAGGTGTGATTTTGGCCCATTCTTCCGCACAAACCGTCTTCAAATCTTGAAAGTTCCGTGGGCCTCTTCTATGAATTCTGATCTTTAGTTCTTTCCTTAGATTTTGTATTGGATTCAAGTCAGGTGGTTGGCTCGGCTATTCTAGCAGCTTTATTTTCTTTCTTTGAAACCAATTGTGAGTTTCCTTGGCTTTGTGTTTGGGATCATTGTCTTGCTGAAATGTCCTCCCTCTTTTCATCACCATCATCCTGGTAGATGGCAGCAGATTTTTATCAGGAATGTCTTGGTACATTTTTCCATTCATCCTTCCTTCAATGATATGAAGTTTGCCAGTACTGTATGCTGAAAAACCGCCCCACACCATGATGTTCCCACCACCAAACTTCACTGTTGGTATGGGGTTTTTGGGGTGATTTGACCTCCAAACATGGTGTATATTATAGTATCCACAGGGTTAAATTTTGGTCTCATCTGGCCAGACTACATTCTCCCAGTATTTCACAGCCTTGTCTAAATGTTGTGCAGCAAAGTTTAAACAAGCTTCAACATGCTTTTTCTTCAGCAATGGAGTCTTGCGTGGTGAGCGTGCATACAGGCCATGGCGATTGAGTGCATTACAATTTTACCTGCTAATTCCAGGTCTTTCTGTAGCTCTCCACAAGTGGTTCTTGGCTCTTGGACACGTCTTCTGATAATTATTTTTACTCCTCTGTCAGAAATCTTGCGAGGAGCTCCTGGTCCTGGGTTCATGGTGAAATAATATTCTTTCCACTTCTGGATTATGGCCTCAACACTGGAACATTCAGAAGTTTAGAAATCCGTTTGTAACCAACGCCATCAGTATGTTTTGCAACAATAAGGTTGTGAAGGTCTTGAGAGCGTTTTGCTTTAACCCATCATGAGATGTTTCTTAGAGACACCTTTTTATAGGCCATTGGTTGAGACTGAACCAGCTGATATTAGTTTGCACTGACAAGGGGCAGGATTGCTTTCTAATTACTGATAGATTTCAGCTGGTGTCTTGGCTTTCCATGCCTTTTTGCACCTCTCTTTCTTCATGTGTTCAATACTTTTTTTTTCCCTGTGTCATCTCATTTTGTTACACAACTTAATTTCTGAACTTTTATTTTGGTTTCTTTCTATTTATGGATTGCATGGGTATTTACTGACGTGAAAATTTCATGTTAATAGCACCTAGAAAATTTGTGACATGTTCAATACATATTTTACCCGCTGTAATGAAATATAAGATCTAAAATAAGCTCAGGGCTCTGATGAAGAGGGCACTGCCCTTGAAACACATAATATAAACCCCTGCGAATGGGTACCGCTCACATTGATTTCATGCCTGTATTTGTGTCTCACGATAATGCTCAAGGCTGGTATGCCTGTTTGTCTCTGTTTCAGTTCTTGTTTGTGGATTTCCCCGATCTGAAGTGGGCAGCAAGGCCTTTATGTTGCTCATGTATTCCTCCTGTTGGCTTTTTCCCAAGTCTGGTGAGATTGAAAAGGAGCATTTTTTGAGGGACAATATTATTAAGACTCATAGTTTTGAGGGTCTGTCTCCTGTAGAGCTGATTCTTCACTCTGTCCTCGGTGCATATTCAGCCCCATGCTAGCTAGGACACTGTTGGCTGTGCAGTGGGCAGTGTCATAGCATCAGGTGACTCCTATCCAGTCCCATCAAGCTACCAGGAGGGAGCTTCTCTGGCCAACGGCTGAAAGTGATCAAAGGAGTGAGGGTGCTGGTGACCTCACTGTTCAAATATGGCAACAACCATATTTAGACAATGGTATCACCAGGATCTCTGCCCTCCTTTGTTTACTTTCAGCCACCTGCAAGGTAATCTCCAAGCTGGCAGCTGAATGGGGGCATAGGATGAATGATCGGTTGCTATGGTGCCCACAGCTGCCGGCTTCATAGTAACCATGGAGTCTTGTACAGGAAAATGTCATGCATTAAGGCTCACTAGCACATAATGCTCTCTAGCGTCTCCCTGTATGTTGAAATTTATTTAGAATCTGTCATAGTGGCAGATTGAATGTAATAAAAATTAGTCAGAAGGCTTGGTGAAATATTTCTAAAATAGTCTATTTTAAAAGAGCCTTACTGCCGAAAAGTTTATTGAACTTCCCTGTGTGTCTTTGAATTTGGCACGATTGTGCTCGGCTCCGTCCACACAGATCCATCATTCCAGCCTAGAATTGTTGGCATTACATTACTAGTACTGCTGCAGAGAGACTATGCAGAGCCATGACAGCGATCCCTTCCCCCTCACACCCTTGTAATCCAGCTGCAATTCCCCTAACCCAAATCTGTACCTCCATACACACCTGAGGCTGGGGGAAAACATTGGAAGAGCCTGTGTATTGCACCCACAACACACATATTGTGGGTGCAGCACTCCTGTAGGCTCAATTGCAGCAATTAGTAAATATACATTGATCATCAGCATTTACTAAGCAAAAGTAGAAGAAAAGGAGGACTAAGCCTTTAAAGAGAATATGGCACATGGAGGGCAAACTGCAGCAGGTCTGAAATAGACACCTAAGTGGACCTGTGCATGCCTAAAGCAGCCCTCTGGTGCTTTTTTTCAGTCATGACAAGAAACTCCAAACTACCAAACGTGAGAGTATTGTCTGAGCTTGCCAGAAAGCTCCACCTCTACACATACTACTTGGTAAATTGAATAATCCGAACACATAAAGCAAAGGTCAATTGTGGACTTTAGAGGCACTGCGACAAAAATGTTTTTTGTCAAAAATAATTTTGACAAAAATATCCCTCCACTGGCTTCCCGTTGCCCAACGATAACATTCAAAACACTAACAACGTATAAAGCCATTTATAACTCTGCCCCAAATTACATCACCAATCTTGTCTCTAAATATCACCCAAACCGTACAAACCGCTCCTTGCAAGACCTACTCTCTAGCTCCCTTGTCTCCTCCTTCCATGCTCGTCTCCAGGACGTCCCCCATCCTCTGGAACTCTCTACCCCAATTTATCAGACTATCGCCTACTCTGCTCACTTTTAGGCGATCTCTGAAAACCTATCTCTTCAGGGAAGCCTATCCTGCCCTCGGCTAATACTGGAATCTTTACTCTTCCAACCAGTCCATCCCCCACAGTTACTACCTTTTGTACCACTAGCCCCTCCCTCCTAGATTGTAAGCTCCAAGGAGCAGGGCCCTCAAATCCCTCTTGTATTGAATTGTATTGTTACTGTATTGCCTCCCGTTATATTGTAAAGCGCTGAGCAAACTGTTGGCGCTATATAAAACCTGTATAATAATAATATGTTTTAAAATCACTTTATTATAGGAATGTACACATACACATCAGTTACATACATGTTACTCCGCTAAGAATATAAGACTCCCATGGGGAGGGGGTAGAGTATTCTATGCTAGTTACAAAACTCTACAAATATTTTTCTTATTAAAATTGACACAAATGTACCGTATCCCAGTAAAGATATCAAAAGACATAAATCAAATGTCGATATGGGTAATTACATAGTAGTTACTCAACATGTTTTTGCGACATTAACACTTCTTCAGCAGTTACTTGAGGTATCGGTTACAGAGCAGACAGCGGGATGGAGTGTGTGTGGTTCCTTCATCTGACACCCCCAATTCATCTGGCAGTCCCCAAGAGCAGGGTAGCTCTATTTCTAGGTAAGCCCATAGTGGGCTCCACTACAGGAAACGTTCAGGGCGGAACTGGCTGTGGACTATACCCTCTTTTAGAGATGTATTGGCTCTACTACCCCAGCTGCTTGGGCTATTCCTAC